AGGTTCCATCCTGGGCCCTGTTTTGTTTCTTATCTACATAAACGATCTTCCTGACAACCTTTCATCTAAAGTAGCTCTTTTTGCTGATGACTCAACTTTATACTCCTGTCTTGACAAAAAGTCTTCTCTTTTCGATTGCCTAGAACAAGCAGCTGATCTTGAATCTGATATCATTTCAGTAATAGATTGGGGTTCACAGTGGCTTGTGAATTTCAACTCTAAAAAAACCCAATTGCTTACTGCAAACAACTACCGTAATATGGTCAACATTCCTATATTAATGAATACTGAGTCGTCCTCTTTACGTCTTCTTGGATTATCGCTTACTACTGACCTTTCATGGAAACCATATATACAATCGATTGCTAAATTAGCTTCTGCTAAGGTTGCTTCTCTTTATCGTGCTCGCCATTTCCTTACTTCTGATTCCATTCTCTACCTCTACAAATATCTTATTCGTCCCTGTATGGAATACTGTTGTCATATTTGGGCTGGTTCTTCTAACGATTCACTCTCTCTTCTTGACAAGGTCCAAAAACGCATTGTAAATGTTGTTGGACCTGGACTATCTGCTAAGCTTGAACCTCTTTCCCATCGTCGTAAAGTTGCATCTCTTTCTCTTTTCTACAGATACTATCATGGTCACTGCTCAAAGGAGTTATCATCTCTAGTTCCATCAACTAAAATTCATTCTCGTTTTACTCGTCATTCAGCTAAGTCTCATTCGTTTTCTGTATCTGTCCCTGCATGCTCTAAAAACTTTTATTCATCTAGTTTTTTTCCCTGCACTTCAATCCTTTGGAACTCTCTCCCATCTTCATGTTTTCCTGACTCATACAACCTTCAACTTTTAAGTCTTCTGTCAACCGTTTCCTTGCTCTATAACTCTGTTCTTTTTTTTTCCTAGTAACTCAATTTCTCAATGTGCTCAATTTCTCCACATTCACCCTTAGGTACTTCTGATCACGGTTTGATCTCTCTAAAACTATTATCAAATTCTTCTACTTCATCAGAATCCCCCTATTATCGTACCACATACAACTACCTTAAAGCTGACTGGGACTCTTTCCGTGATTTTCTTCGTGATGGCCCTTGGGTAGAAATCTTTCGTCTTCCTGCTGACAAATGTGCTTCTTACATAACTTCATGGATTCAGGCTGGCATGGAATCTTCTATTCCCTCTCGACGATTCCAGGTCAAGCCTCACTCTTCTCCTTGGTTTTCCTCACATTGCGCTGCAGCAATTTCTAATCGAAACCGTTACTTCCATATCTATCAGCAAAACAATTCTCCAGAAAACAGACATCTGTTCACTATCGCCAGAAACCATTGTAAAAAGGTTTTGTCTGACGCCAAAGCTCGCTATTCCCAGGTCATTAAATCTCGTATCTCATCACAAAAATTAGGCTCTCGAGACTTCTGGAGAATCTTTAACAGTATCAATAATAAGGGCAAATCTGTTATTCCTTCTCTCTTGTATGGTTCAGACTTTGTCACCTCACCTAAAGACAAAGCTGAATTGTTTGCTAAGAACTTTTCATCAATATCATCTCTTGATTCCACTAGTTGCGTTTTACCTGACATAGCCGTCAAACAGGTTGATCCCTTGTTTGACATTCGCATCACTTCAGCTTCTGTATCTAAAGAAATTTCCTGCTTAGACTCTTCAACAGCTTGTCGTCCTGACAACATTCCTGTTGTAGTCTTGCAGAGGTGTTCTCCGGAGCTTTCATCCATACTTTCTAAACTATTTAACAAGTGCTTATCAGAGTCTTGTTTTCCATCATGCTGGAAAGCAGCATCTGTTATCCTTATTTTCAAAAATTCCGGAGAGCGATCTGATTCATCTAACTACCGTCCCATTAGTCTTCTTCCTGTCATAAGCAAGGTTTTTGAATCTTTAATCAACAAACACTTAATCTCTCATCTTGAATCAAATAACTTACTTTCTGATCATCAATATGGATTTCGGTCTTCTCGTTCTACAGCTGATGTGCTAACAGTAATAACCGATAGGTTTTACCGTGCATTAGATAGAGGTGGAGAGGTTAAGGCTATCGCACTTGACATTTCTAAAGCTTTTGATAAAGTTTGGCATGCTGGTCTTCTCCATAAGCTTTCTTCTTATGGTGTAGCTGGTAACATCTTTAAGATTATTGAGTCCTTTCTTTCCAATCGTAGTATAAAAGTTGTCCTCGATGGACAACACTCTTCTTCACATCCTGTAACTTCAGGGGTTCCTCAAGGTTCAATCCTTGGCCCTATACTCTTTTTAATTTACATTAACAATCTTCCAGATATTCTCACATCTAAGGTGGCATTATTCGCTGACGACACTACCATTTACTCTTGTCATGATAAGAAGCCTACACTCTCTGATTGCTTGGAGGGGGTATCTGAGCTTGAAAAGGATCTCACTTCTGCTACAGCATGGGGCTCACAGTGGCTGGTGAACTTTAATTCAGATAAAACTCAATTTTATTCGGCCAATCGTTATCGTAATAATTTAGATCTTCCTATATTTATGAATGGTAATGTACTAGATGAGTCATCTACCATTCATCTTCTAGGATTAACTCTTATTTCTGATCTTTCTTTTAAACCGTATATCAAATCCATTGCAAAATTAGCATCTGCTAAGGTTGCATCTCTTTATCGAGCTCGACACTTTCTTACTCCAGATTCTATTCTCTATCTCTATAAATCTCAAATCCGTCCCTGTATGGAATACTGTTGCCACATCTGGGGCGGATCTTCTAATGATGCTCTTTCTCTTTTAGACAAGATGCAAAAACGAATTGTAAACATAGTTGGACCTGCTCTGGCAGCCAATCTCCAACCTTTGTCACATCGTCGTAATGTTGCTTCTCTTTCTCTTTTCTACAAATACTATAATGGGCACTGCTCTAAAGAGCTAGCGTCCCTTGTGCCATCTACTAAAATTCATTCTCGTGTTACTCGCCATTCAATTAAGTCTCATCCTTTTTCTGTGACTGTTCCTAAGTGCTTCAAAAACTCTTATTCTTCTAGTTTTTTCCCTCGAACATCAGTTCTTTGGAATTCGCTTCCTTCATCTTGCTTTCCTGATTCATATAATTTGCAATCTTTTAAGGCATCAGTCAATCGTTATCTTGCTCTACAGATTTAGTCTTTTCTCTTCCAGTAACTTCCAACTCTTATAGTGGTTGCTTGCAGCCTTGTTGGAAGTGAAGATGTTAAAAAAAAAAAAAAAAAAAAAAAAAAAAAAAAAAAACTCCTAACTTAATAGTGGTTGCTTGCAGCCTTGTTGGGAGTGAATGCAAATAAAAAAAAAAAAAAAAAAAAAGTTAAAGCAAATTTTTTATTTAATCCTATTATTTTTCATGTATATGTATATATGTATATGTATATATGTATATGTATATATGTATATATGTACATATATATATATATATATATATATATATATATATATATATATATATATATATATATATATATATATATATATATATATATACATATATATATATATATGTATATGTATATATGTATATATATATATATATTTATATATATATATATATATGTATATGTATATATGTATATATATATGTATGTATATATATATTTATATGTATATATATATATATAATATATATATATATATATATATATATATATATATATATATATATATATATATATATATATATATATATATATATATATATATATATAATATGTATATATATATGTATATATATATATATATATATATATATATATATATATATATATATATATATATATATATATATATATATATATTATTTGTTCAAAACTCAAAAAAGAATTATAAAAACAAAAATTAAATTTATATAAGAATTAGAAGGTTATTTCAAAAAGTTTTCAAGAAGTTTTAAGCACCAAAGAGCTTGTAAAAATGGAGCTTGTAAAACGATGCATAAATACTATGCTAATAAAAGAGTGAAAATTTAACCAGATCTGGAATGTGAGAAAATATTTTTCAGATGAACAAGTTTAAAACTTGAAATTTTGGATCATATTTGCCAAATTTTTAACCTACATCTTTGTTATATTATTTGATTAATTTTTAACAATTTTTGATTACACCTGATTACCTGATGATACAATAGGTCAGAAAAATGTCAAAAATATATTAAATTTTAATATATATATACATTACAGGCCTTTGTAAGAAGCAATACGCTGTTTGCATTTTATGTACAAAATAAAGATTTTACATACGCATTAAACCATTTATGTTACGCCAAAATCTTTTTCAATCAGAACTTTAGTCTATTGAAATAATTTATTTTCAGGTTCAGGTTTTAATTTCGAAAATGAAACTAGACCTGCTGGCTGTTTAATAAAAAGGGTTTTTGACTGAACAGCAATGTAATATTATAATTCACATTAAACACACCTGACTTTTTTCTTTCATTTCTTTTCGTGCTTATTAGATTTAGTTGATTAGTTGACAAAGTTTCATCAAACACGACACTTACTAAAATATTTGCACCTGATTTATTTTAATTCCAATAGCAATCCCTTTATCTAACTTTTGATTTTATTTACATTTAATCTTAAAGTTCAAAATTTTTTTGCAATGATGAATAATGGTTTTTCTATTTTTCTATTGTCAGATTACTACTATTTTTTTTTACATCTTTTCTTACTTAACTGCATTGTATGTATGTCCGAACAATAAAATCATCAGAATAATAAATAAACAACAATAAAAATGTTTTAAGATTTAGAGGCTTATTTGAGCACCTTTTACTTACGGTAGAAACCTGAATTTTTTTTTTATAACATGATCTGCCTAACTTTTTGTATAAATGCAATCTATAAACTGCTAGATTAATTTTTCATAATTAGGTATTTTTTCAAATATAAGAACATGACATTATTTTATATATAACATGGCATTATTTTTCTCATTTTGTGTAGATTTCCCATATACAGATAAAAGGAATTTTTTATTTTTTTGTAAGGTTTTAAAAACCGGTGCTGAAATTACTGAACTGGATAATTCTGGATTTAATGTACAGCAACCAACCATCTTTGCTTGTAATCATTTATCAAATAAGTATATTTTGCAAGTTTGTCCTCAGAGTATTCACCTCTTAGAAGATACTGTGCAGATCAACTCAATCTTGTTACAAGATACAATAAAAATTACTCAGTGTTCTATATCTGATCCTTATGTGGTAATGGTTGATTCAACTGGCCAACTAATATATTTGCAAGTTATTGAAGATTCTGAAGGAGTGCAATTAAAAATGAACAATATTAAAACTTCAAACGTAAGTTAATAAATTTTAACTATATAGTTCTTCAAAGTTTTTTTTTTTTTTTTGGTTTTCTAGTTTTAATTAAATTTGAATTTATAAAATGGAACAATTTTGAATTTTTATTACAGAATGGAAAAATTTCTTCAATATGTGTTTATAAAGACGAAAGTGGTTTATTCAGTGTTTCAAATCAAATCAAAGATAACTCTCAAGCGAAAAAACAATCTTTTTTAAGAGAGAGAAAAAGGTTTCAATAACTTAGATTAATAATTTTAAAAATTTAATAAAAATTGTTAAAATTTGTTTTTGATGAGGTTATTTGGTATACAAACTTTTTTTTTTTAATTTATTTCATTGGAATAGTGCTTAATTACTTGAACCAATAGTGTTGCAACTTATTACCACCATTATTAGTGGTGCTATGAGCAAGTAAATAAGTGCGAGAGCGGAGAAAAATTATCCTAAAACAAACATGGTGAGCTATGAGAGCTGCTCCTCTCAATAGCTTATAATGAGAGCTTTTGGTTTTTGTACAAGCTATCTGTTTATTTATATAAAAGTTGGTTATTAAATACAAAATTTGTTTTTATACTTGTTACAATCATATGTTTGTAACATTAATGTTATAAAAATATATACATTATTCCGCCATGAAAAATTCTTTATACGAGCGTTGTCTTTGTGTTTTCACACAAAATTTGACGAAGAGTTACTATTTGACAAATATTTTTTACTGGTTATAAAAAAAGTTTGATATTTTTTTATTGCAATAGAATGCAGGCGTTTTAAGATTTATTACAACAATTAAAAGTTCCACAATAAAAGTGAATAAACTTTTATATATAAAAAATTAATTAATTATTAAAGTAATAGATATATAAAAAATATAATTTATTAGACAAAATAAAAATTATTATGCCATAATTTAGAATGTAATAATTTTATATTTTATCAGTTAAATAATTTTATATATTATCAATATATTTTAGAGTCTAATAGTTTTGAATTTTTCAGCTAGTCCAATACAATGAAAAACATTTGCATTTCAATGCAAATGTTTTTTATTGTATTGGACTAACTAAAGTTTTAGTTGTAAAAGCTAGCTAAAGTTCTTGCTTCCTTTTTTCTCTCAAAAGTGTATATATATATATATATATATATATATATATATATATATATATATATATATATATATATATATATATATATATATATATATATATATATAATATATATATATATATATATATATATATATATATATATATGTATATTTTGTGACCTGATAATAGCGGGTTTTGGTGTTAAATAAAACCTTTTTACAATGGTTTCTAGCAATAGTAGACAGACATCTATTTTATGGAGATTTGTTTTGGAGGTATATATGGAAGAAATGGTTACAATTGGAAATTGTAGCAGCACAATGAGAGGAAAATCATGGAGAAGAGTGAGGTTTGACTTGAATTGTCAAATGGAAATAAACGATTCTATACAAGCCTGAATTCAAGAAGTTACGTAAGAACCTTTTTTTTTAGCAGTTAGACAAAAGATTTCTACTCAAGGGCCATCATGAAGAAAACATGGAAAGAGTTTCAGTCAGCTTAAGGTAGTTATAAGAGGTACAATGATAGGGGGATTCTAATGACAAAGAAGAATAAGATTACAGTTTTAGAGAGATCCGACCATGGTTGGATATCTTCAACTAAGATCCAGCACCTAAGGGTGAATGTGAAAAAACTTAATAATGACTAGTATCAGTAACAGGACACATGTCTAGTAGAGAAGGTAAATGATTTGGATTGTCTGGAAAGCAAGTTGGAAAATTGACTATTTGCGAGTGAGATTAAGAAAGTAAAAAATTGTGAGTCTTAACACCTGCAGAGTCACTAACACTAGAACTCAGCTGTTCAGTGTGATTAACAATAAAGTCATCAATATGGCTGAAAATTAACAACAACAATATGGCTGAAGGATAAAGAGAAAAGTCTTGGTCAATATTATCAAAAATAACATCAAAAAAGTGCAGTCTTGAGATGAAGGAGAGTGATTAAAACAAAGTAAGTAAAACAAAGTAAGACAAAGATGAAGGAGAGTGATTAAAACAGAGTGAGTAAAACAAAGATAAAGGTGATAGAGTGAAGTGGTGCTAATTGAAAGCACATAAAAGAATAGTCTGTGGATTCAAATCTAGTTTCCTGACAAATTGGTGAATTTTTACAGATGTAGATGCCCGGGCCAAGCATGTGACTATTGGAGTCTTTATGAGTTAAAGAAAGATAACCATTAACACTAAGATCACTAGATGATTCAGCTGAACTCAAATTAGTCTCACAAAGAGCAAGTAGGTAAGTAGTAAACTTTGCAAGAGACTCTACAGAAGAAAGGTTACTTTGAAGATCACGGTTATTAGTGATTTATAGATTTTAAGAATTTGGTGATGATTTTTTATGTTTTATAGTTTTTGAAGTTTTTTTTGTTACTCAACAGCCTGTTATTGAAGTTTTTTCCATTTTTGTTACTAAACAGCCTGTTATTGAAGTTTTTTTCATTTTTGTTACTCAACAGCCTGTTATTGAAGTTTTTTTCATTTTTGTTACTCAACAGCCTGTTATTGATGTTTTTTTTTGTTCTCAATAGCCTGTTATGGAAGTTTTTTTTTGTTACTCAACAGCCTGTTATTGAAGTTTTTTTCATTTTTGTTACTCAACAGGCTGTTAATGAAGTTTTTTTCATTTTTGTTACTCAACAGCCTGTTATTGAAGTTTTTTTCATTTTTGTTACTCAACAGCCTGTTATTGATGTTTTTTTTTTGTTCTCAATAGCCTGTTATTGAAGTTTTTTTTTGTTACTCAACAGCCTGTTATTGAAGTTTTTTTTTTGTTACTTAACAGCCTGTTATTGAAGTTTTTTTGCATTTTTGTTTCTCAACGGCCTGTTATTGAAGTTATTTGCATTTTTGTTTCTCAACGGCCTGTTAGTGTTAAGATATTTCATTTGAATCCCTATTCTTACTTTATTTTAAATAAAAACAATAAAGAACTTGTTAGATGCTTAAACATTTCTGAATTTAGCATTTGTACAACAATAAAAAATTACTTATTAACTGGTAGTATCGATGATAAACCTTATATTAAGTGTCCAAAAAAACTGATAGCGTATGATGTTTTACACGCTAAACAGACCCAAACCAAAAGTAGTTTGCTGGTAGACAAAACAGTTAGTTAAACAACACTAAATAAGTCATTATGGAAGAAATAACTAAATTTGTTTCATGTTGTAAGAAAGCTTTTGTTGACATTAACAGATTGCCAAAGACAAAAAAAAATGGTGCAAAAATAATTATCTTAAGCAATGAGGCGAATTTAGATAATAATAACAGAAAAAACATAAGATTTGTTTGTTGCACAGATATGGAAAAGTATTTGAAGCAACACCTTCTAAGCCATATTCAAAAAAGTGGTGGTTCCGTCGGCATATAGGGATGTATATCAGGCTCAGGCGTTGACTGTCATTAAATATACGAATGAAGATTAAACCAGTATGAGTTTTGTGACAGTTTGGAAAATGCACTTATCCCTAGTCACGACTTGTTCAACACTGATTAAAACTGGTTATTTCAACAAGACAATGCTCCATGCCATACAGCACATTCAATCACTGATTTTTTACTTGAACGTGATATTCAACTCATACCTTGGCCAGCAGGATCACCTGACTTAAACTCAATAAAAAATTTAGGAGGTTGGATATATTTTCAACTAACAAAAAATTACTAGTCACAAAATGCTCAAACAAGAAAAAACAAAAAACTGAAATGACAATCAAGATTATTGAAAACTTAATTGAATCAATTAAGTTTTCATAAATTTAAAAACTTTAATTTAAATGAAAACTTAATTGAATCAGTTAAGTTTTCATTAATTTTTTTAATGTAATAATGTAGCTTTTTTTCTTAATTAAGGAAGAAAAAAACCCCCGGACCCTGCCTTCTGTTTTCTCTTAGTACTACTTTAAACTTATCTAACATTTTTTAACTGTTAAAAAAATGAGTGCGTTAATATATATATATATATATATATATATATATATATATATATATATATATATATATATATATATATATATATATATATATATATATATATATATATATATATATATATGAGCTACAACATTGGTAGTGTTATTCAAATTACTGTGGGATTACACAAATTTTATATTTAATTTGTTTTGTAAAAGATATATCCACTAGTTGATAAAAGATATATCCGCAGTTGAGTTGAGGCAACTATTTTCAGTTGCCTTTTAATCTTGCATATATTTTGCTATATATCTAAATACTTAACAAAAATAAATTTTGTATCAAATAAATTAATTGTGAGAATATTTTTTTATGGATAGTTTTAAGAGTGCATAAAACAACTGCCATATTGAAAGATTACTTTTTATCATTTTTAAGTGTTTTGTATATATAATTTTTTATGATTAAAAACAATCAGTTAGAAGTATAAGTCAACTAGATTTAGTTATTCTTCTAACTTTTAGCATGCAGTGCGTGTATAAAATGCATGAATATTATAGATTTTTCTTTTACTAAAACTTTTTTTTTGTTTCAAAAAAAACTTAAAACTTTGTTTTTTATGACTTTATGTAAGGCATATATCTATATATATACAGAGCCTATTCTAGGAAAAAAATTTGGGTGGCGGTACCCCTCCGTCCCAGTGAAATTTAGCGGAAAATTTGCATTTTTTTACAAAAACAAACAATATTTGCCGTAAAAAAGGTAAAAAAATAAATATTGAAATAAATAGATGATATACCTACTAAGAGAACTTTTTATATTTTTGCATTTACATTAATTATATTATTACAAAAGTTGTGCATAATAATAGTAGTACTTATTTTTTTGTGTTTTATTACTGATAATTAATTTAGAAATAATTAGTAAAATAGCATTTAAAATATTAATATTTAATTGCATGTCATAGATTTTTATTCACAGCTTTGCACCAATTTGGCATGGAGTTGATTAGGTCTTGACAACTTTGTAAAGAAATGTTTTCATAAGCATTTTGAACAACGTTCCATAATTCATGCTGACTTCTTATTTTACTTTAGAAACAGCCTTATTGACATTGGTCAAAGCATTTTTAATGGGATTGAGATCTGGCGATTGCACAGGCCGATTCGTAACTTCAATCCTCTCTTCCTCAACCAGTTTTTTTACCCTATGGCTGGTATGTTTTGGGTCATTGTCTTGCATGAAGACCCATTTTAGCGGCAAATCTTATTCTGCATAAGACAACATGGTGTTTTGTAAAATTTCCAGTTAAATATGATGGTCCATAATTCCATCAATCTATTGATGTGCTCTACACCGTAATAGATAAAACAGCCCCAAATATTTTATCCACCATGTTTAAAAGCTTTTATAGTATATTGTGGTTTGCAGACAGAGTTAGTTGGCTTTTATATGTATACCCTTTATCCACTTGAGCTAAATTAAATAATTTTGCTTTCATCAAACCATTTGTTGCAATTTTGAAGCAGGCTAATCTTCATGTATCTTTGCAAAATGCTTTCTTGCAACATTATATCTTTTGTTGGGGAACTTTCCTTGGACTTCTGACAACCAATATGCATTCTAATAACAGCCTATGCACTGTTCTGTTCACTGACACTATTACAATTAAATCATCTTTAGTTTGACAGTTTTAAATTCCTCATATTTTTTTGAGACTAGTGATTAATTAATCTTTTACTTTTTTTATTGTTGCTACCATGTTTGTCACTTTAGCAATGTAAAGAACTTAATGCCTATATTTTTTTTTCAGCAGTTTTTTTTTAATCCAATGATTGTCGAATAGGCATGAAACCTAAAGTTTCCATAGAAAAAGTTGTTTTTCTTTATTTAAATATATATATATATATCATCCCGGACAAAATGTCCGATCAAATTTTGTTTGGGTCAGACAGTGTCCGTTCAAATTTTGAAAATTTAATTTTTACGGTTTTATGGAACCAAGTTATGCAATCAAAGTCTTTGTCACATTGTTCAGTTTATTTAACGTTAGTCTAGTGAAGTTGTAGTTTCTTTCCTGATTATTTAGAATAACTCATCGTAGATATTTCAATTTAATATTGTACATTTTTTAAGATAGACTTAAAATTTCAAGCTGTAACTGTCAATGCTTTTTATTTTCTTCACAGTTTGACAACGGCTTTTTTGATGTTTTTACAATTTATAAGCAATTGAAAAAATTTTTACGTTACGAATAACTTTTAATCATTGATCTATTTTTAAAATTTTATTTTACGCAAAGGCTTTATACAAAATAAAACCAAAAAATAATTAAAACGATCGTTTAAATGTTAACGCATTATGTGTAAGTTAAATGTTATATTTAAATTTTTTATTAGGTATGTGTTTTTTATGATAAGTTTAAATGTTTAAAACTATTTTTCCATATAATTAAATAAATAATCTTTTAAAAGATAATTTATTTAAGTTACTTTTAATTATAAAATTAAAGTTAAATAAATTAAAAAGTTAAATTAAATCTTCCCATGACTTAATTGCTTTATTTTTTATTTTTTGTTTCTATTTTTACAAAGAATTATTAAATTTTTTTTTTGAAACTTGACTTACCATGAAATGATTAAAAATTACGGTATTAAAAAGTCAACGTTATTTTTTTAGCAATCTTTTCTGCAACTTTTAGAAATATATATATTTTTTTTAATAATAAAAAAATTTATTAAACATTAATTTATTTACCAATTAATAGAAGTGATTTGTAAAAGTGTTTTGCATAACTTTTATTAAACGTTTTAAAAGATCAGTTTTAAAGTAATTTTTTTCAAATGCAATTAAAAACGTAACAAAAAGTAATTTTTACTTTAAGTTTTTTTAGTTTCATTTTAAAGCTAATTTATTTTCTTTTTTGTAAGGAATTGTTTTGCTTAGTTTTTACAATTTTTTTCCTAGTTTAAGTTTAGGTTAATGTTTCTTTTTTCGGTTGGTCAAAATGTCTACTCACTTTGTAAATTGAGCGGACAATCTAAGGTTTTAGCCAGACAATGTCCGACCTTTAAATTAAGCCCTAATATATATATATATATATATATATATATATATATATATATATATATATATATATATATATATATCTTTTTAAGATTATTGAATCCTTTCTTTCCAATCGTAGTATAAAAGTTGTCCTTGATGGACAGCACTCTTTTTCTTATTCTGTAACCTTAGGGGTTCCCAAGGCTCAATCCTTGGCCCTATGCTCTTTTTAATTTACATCAACGATCTTCCAGATATTCTCACATCTAAGGTGGCATTGTTCGCTGATGATACTACCATTTATTCTTGTCACGATAAGAAGCCAACTCCCTCTGATTGCTTGCAGGGGGCATTTGAGCATGAAAAAGATCTCACTTCTGCTACAGCATTGGGCTCACAGTGGCTGGTGAACTTTAATTCAGATAAAACTCAATTTTTTTTCGGCCAATTGTTATCGCAATAATTTAGACCTTCCTATATTTATGAACGGTAATGTACTCGATGAGTCTCCTACCCTTCATCTTCTAGGATTAACTCTTCTGATCTTTCTTGGAAACCTTATATCAAATCCGTTGCAAAATTAGCATCTGCTAAAGTTGCTTCTCTTTATCAAGCTTGTCACTTTCTTACTCTGGATTCTTTCTTACTCTGGATTCTATTCTCTATCTCTATAAATCTCAAATCCGGCGTTGAATGGAATACTGTTGCCATATCTGGAGCGGATCTTCTAATGATGCCCTTTCTCTTTTAGACAAGGTGGAAAAACGCATTGTAAACATAGTTGGACCTGCTCTTGCAGCCAACCTTCAACCTCTGTCACATCATCGTAATGTTGCTTTTCTTTCTCTTTTTTACAAATACTATAATGGGCACTGCTCGAAGGAGCTAGCGTCTCTTGTGCCATCTACTAAAATTCATTCTCGTGTTACTCGCCATTCAATTAAGTCTCATCCTTTTTCTGTTACTGTTCCTAAGTGCTCCAAAAACTCTTATTTGTCTAGTTTTTTTCCTTGAACATCAGTTCTTTGGAATTCGCTTCCTTCATCTTGCTTTCTTGATTCATATAATTTGCAATCTTATAAGTCGTCTGTCAATCGTTTTCTTGCTCTACAATCTTCATCTTTTCTCTTCCAGTAACTTCCAACACTAATTAGTGGTTGCTTGCAGTCTTGTTGGAAGCGAAGATAATTAAAAAAAATATATATGTATATATTTATATCTATAGGGTATATAGATCAGCAAATCCTTATTAGTTTTGCTTATTTTATAGCATATAGCTTTTTCAAAAAAAAAGAAAAAAAAACCAAAGAGTAATAAAAAAAAAGGTTGTTGCCCCATCCTAAACCCTCAGTCAATGTAGTCAAACTCTTTTGCAGCAGCAGAATAATATATAGGTGATGTATGTACTGAAGCCCCTGGCAGCAGGCTATTTCAGTGTGACATCACAGTGCTTATTTATATACGCATTTAAAGTTGTGTATATATATATATATATATATATATATATATATATATATATATATATATATATATATATATATATATATATATATATATATATATATGTATATATATATATATATAATTAAATCAAGTGTATATAATAGAAAATATAACTTAGTTAGGTTTAAATTGTTTATTAAAATTTGATTTATATAGCAAATATTATAAGTTTTAAAAATGATTAAAAAAAAATGTTTTAGATCAACTTATATTGAAGATGAGGAGGAATTTCTTTATTCTACTACATCTGAAGAAACTTATGAAGAACTCTCGCGAAGAAACTCATTCAGGTAATGCTGGTATTTAGTAGCCTTAAGAAAAATTTATGATTTCAAGTTGAAATCATTTTATCATAGTTTTTATTATTTTAGTTCTTCAAATAATGCTAGTATGTTTCCAATTGTTGCAACATATTGGTGCTTGGTATGTACAGAGTATGGAAGACTTGAAATATACGCTTTACCAAGTTTTAACTTGGTGTTCAACTCAAATAACTTTTATGATGCACCTAAAATTTTAGTTGACAGCACGGTGAACAACTCGTATGCATTTATTTTCTGTATAATTTAAATTTACTAATAAGCAGAAATTTATGAAGATTTTTTATATACTATGCATATGCATATGTGTATGCATAGTTTAGAAATATATGCATATATTTTTCAGTATTTAATATGAATATACTTTTTCAAGAAAGTGTTGATTTTATTAGCATAACAGATGAGCCATACAACCAAGTTAAAGAAATACTAATGGTTGGTGCTGGTTATTTAAGACGTCGACCTTTTTTATATGCACTTATTGATCAAGATCTTGTTGTTTATGAATGTTTCAGTATGTGTAAACAAACTTTTTCTGGTCATTTGGGTGTAAGGTTTAAAAAGGTATTTTTTATGCTTTTATTTACATTATATGCATTGTATTGTGCAGAGCATTATTGCATTGTGCAAAATTCTTATTGTAATGTGCAGAACATATATTGCATTGTGTAGAACATGTATTGCATGGTACAGAACATGTATTGCATGATGCAGAACATGTATTGCATGGTTGCAGAACATGTATTGCATGGTTGCAGAACATGTATTGCATGATGCAGAACATGTATTGCATGGTTGCAGAACATTTATTGCATGGTTGCAGAATATGTATTGCATGGTTGTAGAACATGTATTGCAGAAAATTTATTATAATGTGCAGAATATACATAGTTTTGCGCAAAATTTGTTTTTTGTTTTGTAAAGGTAGATATCTTGTTAGTTTTTATTTTTTTTATATATCATTACATTCAAGTTTTAATTTTAAAAAATTTCAAAACTCAAACTTAATTAAATTCTTAAACATTTAAGTAAACATTGTTTTGTATAGATGGAAATGAATGTTTTAATGAGAGTCAAAGAAGAAGCTAAACTGGCTGAGATGGCAAATCCAGTAAAAGAAAAAATAAAGGCCCCTTTGTTGCGTGAAGTAAATAATGTTGCATCATATGACTCTGGTGTAAGTTTTAAGAAAAAAAACTTTTTATTATGTTTTTAATTTCAAGGATAAAATTAATTTGAAAATTAATTGCTTTTCTTCTTTCAATCCATTTTTTCCAATTTTTTTTTTTTTTACAATTTTTTCTAGAGGTAGTATTTTTTTTTTTTTGAGAAGTAAATAACATGTAGATATTAATTTTCCAAATTGTCTTTTTTGTATTTTCTAAAATGGTATAACTGTACAATCTAATTAACTTTTATTTTAATGTTTGCCAGGTGTTTGTTTGTGGTGCTTATCCTCATTGGTTTTTTACTACTTTCCGTGGAGAAATACATGTGCACCCATTGTCTATTGATGGTCCAATAACTATGTTCGCTCCATTTAATAATGTTAATTGCCCTAAAGGATTTCTTTATTTCAACAAAATTGTAAGTTAAAATAATAAATTATTAAATTTTATGAAGGATTTCTTCATTTCAACAAGAAAAATTTCTTTATTTCGATAAATTTGTAAGTTTAACATAAAATATTAAATTTAATTAAAGAGTAGATGAAAACGGTATTCTTAGTTTGTTTTTTTTCCAGGGAGAACTGCGTATTGCTGTGCTTCCATCTCACCTAAACTATGATTCACCATGGCCAGTCCGAAAAGTACCATTAAGAATGACACCCTATGAAATAGCATATCTTCCTGATGCAAAGGTAAATGATCTTTATTTTAATAAGTCTTTGGTAGTTGCTATGGTGGTTTATTTGTGTGGTAGTTCTATGGTAGTTGCTATGTAACAAAAGATGGTAAAAACATCATTAGTAGTTTTCAATCTGTTATTTGTAAAAATAAACACCCAATAATAAAATGATGTTTATACAAAAAAAAAAACATTTTGAAAGAAAAAAAAAAAAAAAAGACAACAATCAAATTCATAATTAAATATTTAAGTGAGTGCAGGTGTGTCCTTTGATAGCAAAAAATATATATTCAAGGAAATGTCCTATTCATTATCCTATCCTTTTCTTTGTTTATTATTTTGTTTTTTAGAATAAAACAAACCATCTACTTTATTACCAGTTTATGCTTCATATTAAAAATATATGCTGTGTAGTTTTTTTATTATCTTTAACAATACAGATTTTGCTGTTTCTTAGAGCATTGCAGTGTATTTCTAATATCTTTAAAATTTTTCTTATATATATATATATATATATATATATATATATATATATATATATATATATATATATATATATATACAAATGTCAATTTTTGAAAAAAGAAAAATTCATCAATTATTTCAAGGAAAAAAAATAATAAAAATAATAATCATCAAAAATAATAATCAATAAAAACTATTATTAAATTTCTTGATGTTTCGTTTAACTTATCTGACAATTGTTTTTAGCCTTTGAATTAATGAAAATTAAATAAATTACATAAACTGTTTAACCAAAATAATGTAAAAGTTAGCTGTCTTCCAAACATTTGCAACATTGTTACACAACAATAAAATTTTATCAAATACATCTAATCTTAATCCTCTAACAAGTCCTCAATCCTCAAACAGGTTTATGACAACAGGTTGGTTTATTGTTGATGCCCACTTAGTGGAAAGTGTTCAAGTAAAAATATTATTAACATATGCAATCATTAAGAAAATAAAAAGGGTTTCTACTATATTGGACTTGCAAAAAAAACATTTTAAGATTATTTTTACAAGCCTAAAAATTGTTTTCCTTTTGAAAGTAAAACTAATTGCATTGAACTTTCTGAATTTGTATAGAAAAATTAAAAATAGGTTTTGAATCTTGTCTTTTCATGGATTATTCTAGACCAGACCAAACTATTTAAACTTGGTGATAAATTGTGCCATTAATACTTGATGGAGAAATATCATATAATTTTATCATTGTTGAATTTATTAAACAAATAAACTTTCATCATCATGATCATCATCATTATATGTCATCATGTAAATAAGTATATGATCAATAGCTCTAATAATGCCATCAAAAAGGACACTCTACAGTATTTTCAATATACATTTTTTTGTTGTTATATTTTTAAAAATTTGTAACATCATCATGCAAAACACACCCGTAAATTGTCTTTCAGGAGCAACAAATAGCACTCGCTTTTTTCATTAGAAGA